TGACGTAACTGTAAGGATTCAACTGATTCAAATTTCCATTTAAATGAAAACTCTGCCTAAAATCAGCAGCACGACCGGGATTATTGCCACTCTACCTGGCGCAGAGGTTTAGTTGGAACTTGTACTGAATTGAAATTTCGTAAATCTGGCTAAAGGGAAGTTGACCATCACACGAATAATTAGAATGACAGTGTCCATAAAAAAATAAACTCTTACTCCAGTTGAATAAATTCCAGACACCTCTTCCATATCCTGGTACGCTTATAGATAAAAATGTTAAAAAACCTCCTTTTCTCTCCCCAGCTGCTTAAAGAAATAAATAGAAAGTGGGGTAAAAATATATACAGCAGGATTCTGTAGAACGATTAATTTATTTTTTCTGAACTTGTATGAAATATGTGAAAAACTCGTTAACTTTATATTTACTATAAAGGAAATTGAAATACGGGACGAAATACAATGTCAGTTCAGTATAAACTCCTATTTTACAATTTTTTTCGGGCCACTAGCTACAATAACAAGCTAATAATAAATTCCTTCTTTTAGGTACATACCTTTTAGTCTTTCTGTGTTACATTTATATAGTGAGCTCTGTCTACTTAGAGCTGAAGGTTATCAGGAAACCATAATGAAAGCCGTAAGTAGCAGTCAGAGAGAAATATACATAGATGTTATTTTATAACCATAATTTGATATTTCAATTACTTTTAAAACTACGTATGTTTTATTAAACAATTGAGTAAATTGTGAATCATATAGCAATTATTATTTTCGTATCAACAAAGTTGAGATGCCTTTTTATTTCTTTGTCTTTTTTTCTTAGCAAGAAGCTTTTCATTTTCATTATATTCCCTAAAGGAATAAAAGAATAGGGGTTTTCTTCAATATAAAATATTTGACGTTAGAAAGGATTTATACCAACACAAAAAACGCGATAAAAGAAATTCGTTTTATCAACAACTAAAAGCCACATTTTCCCGGCTTTGCCCAGGTCCAAACCGTAATTGAATTTTTTTTTATAAGAAGTAGGTAAGTCGATTCCTATAAATTCGAATTTTAGCTTCTATTGTTTAGTGACCAACACTATACGAAAAAAAAAAAACGCAAAAAAATTCAGCGAAATAAGGAATATTAAATATTTCTGTAGTTCCTTACAATCGTATAGGGTGTTATATTTGGAAGATACCCACATCCGTAACTTTTTCATTTATTGCTTAGCTTTAACAAACTTTTTTAATAATAAAATTCATGAATTCTGAGACTGATGAGGAAGTACCCCTCGCTACACGTCAGGTGATGTGGTATATGCACGATGGGGCGCTTGCACATAGTACACTTGCCGTTAGAGAATGGTTAAATTTAAATTACCCGAATCGCTGGATTGGTCGTAGTTGTGTTGCCCCTGTTTGTTGGCCTGCACGTTCGCCTGACCTAACGCCTATGGATAGCATTTTTTTCGTTTGCATTAAATTTTATTTCAGATAAATAACTTTACCTAATACATGTCCCATAGTCATAAGTTATCAAACATTTTTCATTAATTAATAACAAATTATTCTTAATGTTATTATTAAATTACCAGCTTATTGAGAGAAAGTGTCAATTTATTAATATGATAAATAACAATTTATTTGTTATGACATCCGCCTACTTTATTTTTATAAATTTTCGCTACATATTTTATTTTTTAGTTATGTTGTTTTAAATAAAAATAAATTACATTTATTATTATTATTATTATTAATTCTGCATGCGCTCTGCTAATTTGAGATGCGATTTTTTGTTGAAATTTTTATGTCCATTTAAATTTATTTCAGCAACTTTTACATCGGAAGAAGCAGTTTTCTTCTAATTTAATTTTTTTTTAACTATTAAATCTACAGCTGTAATGATACCAGATATGATTTCAAAGAAAAGCCCTCCAACTGAGTTTTTTTTTCTAACATCCAAGACCCCCGAAATCCGTCCACAAACCGAGCGCCCGCCAGCCGAACATATCCTCTCACTCCTGCAATACTGATAGCAGCATCGTCTAATACCACCTCGCAGTCCTCGCACCAGTCTGCTTCCGCTCTAGCCGGCGGGAGGAACGGGCAAATCAGCATGGCCGGCTCGCGAGGTACGTCAGCGAAGGTAGAGCAGTGGGGGTGGGAAGAGACTGACAGGACGTGGTGGAGGGGGCAAGCGGCGTCTAGACACTACGTCACGCCGGATCGAATCCTAGCCACTGACTAGTACGCCCGCCTTCTACGCGGTTTCTCTCGCTCTGTCGCGGCGCGGATGTGCCCCGCTGATGGCATCGTCGCGTCTCCTTCCTAGTCCCGTCCAGAGGGCGGGTTGTAGGCACTAAATTGGCGGTGTGAAAAATTAGAAGAAAAGGATATAAGGTCCTGTGAAATAAGTTACTATAAGATCCCAGAACAGCGACTGATGTGTGTGAAATGAAACATTCAGCGAATGGGCACATCAGTAATATTTAATTTGAGATTTTTCAAAAGCACTTAACCCCCTAAACATATACGGGCTGCTGCAGTCATTAATTTTCAGGGAAAATAAGGAAAAATCAGTAGAATACGAATACGCGATTAAAAAAATTTTAGAAGGAAAAAAAATATTTTCGAATCATTATTTAAACCCCTTTTGGGACGCTCCTGACCACTGACCTACGTCGAGAGTGAATCTTACCTAACTTTAATATTGTTAAAGTTTTCAGTGTTTTATAATTGAATATGAGTTTTTAATATTAATTAATCAGTTTGTAGTACACGTATACGTACTACAAACGGAATAATTAATTAAATATAATATTAAAAACTCGTATTCAATTATAAAAGTGACTTATTGCTTTTCAAAGAGTAGTCGTACCTACCTATTTAAAATGCTAGTACGTCTGAAAAAAACCACATTCGTCCATAGCACTTAATAATGTCGGAATCCGGTGCACTTTGATATTGAAATCAATGAAAAAAATTCAACATGATTGAATCACCCTGTAGTGCCATAGTTTATTGCAAGAACGGGGCAAGTTACATTTATGTCGATGGTTTTCTGCAAAATCTGACTATTAGGATTAGATAAGCGAAAATAAACGTTATTATTCATATTAATCTAGACAGATAGCCGCATTTCTGAAATTATCATTGCAAAATTTCACTCTTTTGTAAAATTTTATATATAATTTGATACAAGTATATTCAGATATCAATTCTTGAGAAAATCTTTAAAATGCAGAAATAGTTAAGCTCATCTATTGTGATTGTGATTGATTACGTGAGTTTATCTTCAAAGTCAAAGAGGTAATATTAGAAACAAGAAGAGATTGCAATTTCTTTGAAAGTTTTGCGTTATTTAAATATGTCAGGTATGGTTTTTTTTATCAACAATATTTGAACAGATTATTTCTATCTTTTTGGATAATTTATTAATACGGGTGCGATAAAATATGTTTATCGGATATTTGGATACTAACATTGATTTTCATGTATTTAAAGATTACTTGCTACTTAATGGTTTTGTCATTTGAATCCACCATATTCAGATATTGATGACAAAAATTGCATGAATTGATGGTAGTTTGTGACAAGTACTCTGGTAACAAATTTTGCAAGGAAAAGAAATAATTGTATTATCTCAAACTTTAACGCAAGTCAGTAAAAGCATTTGCTCCATTTTTCCGTGCCTAAATATCCGCCCTATTTGACGATGCTGTAACGATTCTTTGCAGGATAGGCGTCGAATAAAAAAAAATCACCACTTCGTAACTTCTACTTTATATGTATTGCTCTTCTATTTGGTATATATTCACATAATAACACATATTTGGGGCACCTAGTTACATATATAAAAAGCCAAAAAACTTTCGAATTAAAAAATAGAAATTAAAGAATGACTGATACAAAATAAAAAACAGTTCATTACAAAGCTACTTTCCAACAAAATTAAATGAAAAATCCAATGCATCAAAACAAACGGTTGACTAAAATGACAAAATGAGTAAAAACATTGTATTGATTTTTTTTGCACTTTATGATACATCTTTGAGAATCTAAAAAAATATCTGTTCAGCTACAATTCAGTATGGTGCACAAAAAGAATTGATGACGAGTTCTTGGAACCAAAATGTTAAAATCAAACTTTCAGTTCACAGTTTGTAAAGAGTTACAATATTTTTCCAAAATTTCAAAAATACGTAAAAATAATTAAAATTAAATATATTTTCTAAGATAAAAAAACTGAACCGTACAAAATTCCACTTAAATGTGAAAACAAATGACTGTGTGATATGGTGAAGTAAATGACCATAAATAAAATTATAGCACTGCACAAAACACTTTCAAATACAAAATCTCCAAGGCGTAGGTGTCCCTTTCCTTTTTTTTTCTCAAAGCGAACATATGTGATAAATTGCGACAAATAAGAAGTAAGAGATTTGTAGAACGGGTAAGAAAGACATTTAAAGTTTACTTTTGTCAGCCGTTCAGTTAGAAACGGTGTCGTTTTTGTATTTTTGAGTTATGATTATTGCTGGGATCCCGACATAAGTAAAGTTTTAAATTCTAGACTTATTGCTGCCAGGACTTTCTTGTGTATGTGTTCAATGTTATGACAAATTGTGTCTGTGCTATTTCAGAGCACGAATTTATTTCAATGCCGTTGCCGGAACTTTTGTAAAATGCGCTAAAGTGTCTCGATACGGTCATTATAAAGTCGTTCTATGACTTTAAATCGACCCTTGTGTCTTCTAAGATAAAACCACAGGAATTTGGAACAATGAAAGCGATATGGATGATCCTTACTTAAAAATATTCATAATCTATATAAGTAAATGTTTTACATAAGTATATATCTTTGATAAGAACGTTTGGAGTGGAACAAATAATTGTTCTTACAGATATCTCTAATAAAAATGTTGGTAGTAGTACTAGATTACTTGATTCTTCACCGATAATGTTTTATTTCAATTTTTTAGAAAATTTAAATTAAACTGTTTTTTATCACGAGATATTTTGACACTCAGTCTCTTAAAATGTTCCAATTTCGGTTTTTGGAATCAGTTAGCTAATCTTTTCCAAAGCGAAATACAATCAGAGATCTTTAAGTTAATATAAACATACATGTGATTGTTGCCGTAATACTAGAAAACTATAGAGATAAATTGATTAAATGTAAGCGGTAAGCAGTTGTAAAATGTTATAAAATCGATATTTTGCCGAGGTAGATTGAATAGTAAAAATATGAAGTCATTATTTGTGATTTTCGTGGTTGCCGCGGCAGTTTTAGGTAAATATAAATCAGTTGTTCAAACAGTTTATTTAATCCAAGTATATTTAAATTTAACATTAAAAAATAGTGGATATAGGAACTAAATTTATATATTTTTTAAATAAAACAAACACTATGTTGTATTTATAATCATGTTTAGTCATTTCATTTACTTCCCTCAGTATTCATTTATAACATTATACTGTGCTATATTATTACGCCACAAATGAATCTAAACATGCTTACAGAAGTACTAGCACAGTTCTTCCAGCCGGTAGCACCAAAGCAGGTGATCACATGATTAATTTGATTGGTTGAGTTAAATCAGATCATGTAAATTCAAACTTTTATTCCTATATTTACAACAAACATAGTAAAAACATGCAAAAAACATGAATAATACATTCTAAAATGTAAAGTACATGAAGTGAATTTCCACAATTTTTATCAATGGATTCCATAAATATTGTTTCAGGTGCCCCTTCTGAAGACGTAGACGGGAGAATAGCAGGTGGCTATGACGTCGACATAGCAAACTACCCCTACATGCTCCAGCTCGAGTACATGGATGAGCTCGTCTGCGGAGCAATCTTGGTTACCCCCAACTACGCCCTAACATCCGCCCAATGCTTACGGTCCAGATACGCCGAGTACTTCTTGGTCCGTGCTGGTTCCGCGACCCTATACGAAGGTGGACAAGAACTGCTCATTCAAAATATCGTGTACCATCCACAGTTCGAGGTCAGCAACAATAACTATGACGTGGCTCTTATGCTCTTATCTGGTAGCGTATCCAACGCCAATCCTATTTCATTGGCCACGAATGACGACGCCATTGTGGAAGGCGCTAGCCTCACAGTAGCCGGGTGGGGTTGGGAAGAGTTTGTTTACTACACCGAGTTTTCTACAAACCTTAAGGTAAGTTGACATTTTTCTTATACGGAAACTGCAACCGACAAATCCTTACGATTTGTCGCAGCGTGTGAAATTAGCATTAGCCGCACGTTATGATCATGTCTCACTGCCCAGGTTGTCGAGATTCCTATCCTAGGCAACGAAGCCTGCTCTAGTGCCTACGATATTGTTAGCGACGTGATGTTTTGCGCTGCATACCTGGAGGCTACCGGTAGGGGGTTCTGCTTCGGCGACAATGGTGGGCCAGGTGTAATCAACGGAGTCCTCGTCGGAGTTATATCCTTTGGCCAAGGCTGTGGAGATGGTACCCATGCTGGGGTACTTATTAGGGTTTCCAAAGTGAGAGACTGGATTTACAATATTATTGGAACAGTTGATGTTTGATGATATTAAAGACAATTAATTTGATATTTTAGATTTTATTTAATTATAAGGTTGATTTGGAGAACGACTATTCTGGTTCTGATGACTTTTTAGAATTAGAAGTTTGCTTTGAATAGTAACACTAACAACTTTTTTTTTTTTGGAACTCTGGAATCCTTTCGTGGTCGTGATCTAGTTCTAAGTTAGGTGTTATCTCAGAAACTATTAACAATTTATACCTTAATCTTTAACTCATATGATATAATCCTTCAGTTTCCTGATCGTTCCAGTATAGGTCAGGTTACTTATGTTAATCGCAATCTTTATATTGCACTAATTTTTGCTCTTTTTGTTATATTAGGTAAAAATTTTCAATTTATATTGTCATACTGGAATAATCTTTGACCAAAGTGGACGTTCAGTCGCGCCTCTTGATACCTCGTACCATTGGATGGTGTGTTCTAGGTGATCGCTGAGATGTTTTTGTAAATTTCCCACATAATTCGAAACATTAGATATTTTGTTGGTAATGTGCTGTCTTCTACTCTTTCGATCAATAAAATCGGGTTCTGTCGGAGTCATCTGCTTTGGCCTGGTGTGTCTGAAGCTCGACATTCCAGTCATGTTCTGCTCTGGCAGAGCGTTTTTGAAAAAATTGTAGTAAATATATCTTACTTAAAATAAAAAATTGTAACAGTAACAAATAATAAAATACGCGTTAATAACGTCTACCTTATTTTATCAATTATTATTTTTAATATTTCAATTATGTGACACTCGAGTAGAAAAATTATCAGTTTAAGCAATGCTACTGACGCAAGTCAGATACAATTCTGTAGGACTGATAAAAGTATATATTGAAATTTAAGTTCACATTTCTCAGATGTATTGTTGTCAAAATTAATTACAATAATCGTTAATCATACCAAGTAATATTTAAACAATGAATGGAAAATGTTAAATAGGCTAATCTAGGCAAAATATTTGCTTTACAAAAAATTTTATCTTGTTCCTCATTTCTTGGTAAGTATTCGTAAATAATACTTTATACGAAAATTTTAAAGATTAAAATAAAATTAATTGCCTGCAATTACAATGAGAGGTAAGTAATTGTTTTTATTTATTATTTTATTTATTCAATATCGGTAAGATTTTTTTCCTATTTTAGTTTCTTCTGTCAAGGATTTAGTCAAATAAAATTCATAATAAAGAACAAATTAAGGAATGTTAAAGTATTTATAACACTTAAATCACTAAGTAGGTACTTAGATAAGACTTTTTCTACAAAATAAATTCTGTGTGAACAAATAAATATGACAGTACAAGTGAAACAGTGGGAAATATTTGTTGGAAAATGACGCACTTTACCGTACTGATTTTGGTTCTCTTTGGCACCGGTTTAGGTATTCTACTTTCAATTTTATTTTACAGTCTTTTAGGGCAAATGCAGTATGAATTAAATTATTACTGGAATTTATAATTTTTGTTTTCATTTTACTTATCTTAATTTGTAATGTAATATAGCTGTAAAAGTATTGACAAAGTATTTCCAGATCAGGAATACTAAAGGAAGAAATATTGTTCTGTTTCTCGTATATTCGAATTAAAAATATACACTTGTACTTTAACAATTTAACTAATATCCCGCGACCGATAGACCGTAGATTAGCTATGCTTGTACGGAGGATTGGCACCCTCTGTGCAGGTATGGTAGGGTGGAAGAATGTTGGCTTGGGTCAATGTGAGAGATTGACACCGGATGGCATTTGACCACCCCCCTAATTAATGAGGTTTTCCAGGTTTCCCTCATTCCTGCACTGAATGGTGGTTAGGGCCTACCAACATAAGTCGTTCCTGGGCGCAAATGCGGCCTGCGTAATAATAATATGCCGCCTCCGCTCCCGCACAAGTCTCCGACTTCTGGGCTAACTCTCGTAGTTAGAATGAGGAGTAGAGATATTATTATTATTATATTGTGGATACCATTTGAATAGCTAAAACATGGTAAAATTTATTGTATTTAATGAAGAACCACTTACATACATAAAAATATGTAGTATTCATTAATTTTGTCATAAAAATTACGAAATTATAATAGATACTTTTTAGGGGTCCCGTATGGAGATCCAAATGGAAGAATATTTGGTGGAAACAAAACTAATATTGAAAACTACCCCTACGCTCTTCAGCTGTTCTATTTGGACAAACTACAGTGCGGAGGTATCTTAATTTCCGACCGTTTCGCTCTCACCGCTGGTCATTGCATAGCCAGGTGGACCCTAGATTATTTTCTGATCCGCGCTGGAACTACAACCCTCGGAGAAGGCGGCCAGACGTTCACTATTTCAGAAGCCACTTTCCATCCACAGTTCAACCTGAGCCATAATAACTACAACGCGGTTGTTCTTCGTCTCTCAGAGACCGTTTCAATCTCTAGCGCTAAACCCATACAATTAGCTGTGGATGATAGTGCCATTGCTCAGGGAGCGACAGTTCTTGTGGTAGGTTGGGGTTGGATGGAATCGAATGGCGATTATCCCACGACTCTTCAAGTTACTGATCTAACTATTCTCGGTGACGAGGAGTGTAAAAATTCCTACGATACGCCGGTCATCACAGAAGCCATGTTCTGTGGGAACTATTCGGGAACAATAATCAGAGATTTTTGTTTGGGAGACTATGGTGGTCCTGCTGTTGCAGACGGAATTCTGCAGGGGATCATATCTTTCGGCGAAGGCTGTGGTGATGGTTACAAAGGCAAAGTATTTGTAAAGATTTCTATCATAAGAGAATGGCTGCAGAATATTATTCAGTCAATTTATTAAATGATGGGATGGAACTTTTTTTATTTAATACCTCCAAATTCTGTGCAAGTCAAGGGTATATTATGAGGAAGTGTATATACTTTAAGGGGGCATTCGTTAGCTCAGAATAAGCAAAGAAGTTATAACAACCATTTTACATATTTTTACCTGAGTAATGGTCTTTTGTGTACTTCTGTATTGTACTTGTGTGACTTCTTGTATAATATAAATTGAATATTTCACATAAGCTATTTCTGAGCTCATACGCAAAAAAAAGAAAATATCATTTCCCATAAAGTTCGAAATATTAGCGATTTTCTTGTTGATGTGCTGTTTTCTGCTCATTCCACCAGTAGCATCGAGCTTTGGACTAGTATGTCTGAAGCGGTTTGCGGCTCCGTAGCGAAATTCGAAAGATTGGTGAAAATCTCAATACTGGTGCTGCCTAAGTGGCTTTGAGGAAAAGCTGTCCTAGCGAAGTTCTACTTTGTCAAACCGTTTTTGGAAAAATTGCGGTGCATATACTTGAGAAAAAAATTGTAATAGTAACAAATAATAAAATACGTGAAACATCCACATTATTTTATTAATTTTTTAAATATTTTAATTATGTAACACTCGAGTAGAAAAATTATAAGTTTAAGTAATGCTATTGACGCACGTGTCAGGAACAGTTATTAACTGTACGACTGATAAAAGTGTATATTGAAATTAGCGTTCACATTTTTCATAGTACTATTGTCAAAATTAATTACAATGGAAGATCATTAACCATACTAAGTAATATTTAAACAATGAATGGAAAAATGTTAAATAGGCTAATCTAGGCAAAATATTTATTTTACAAAGAATTTTATCTTGTTCCTCATTACTCTATAAGTATTTGTAAATAACACTCTATACGAAAATTTGAAAGATCAAAGTAAAATTAATTGCCTGCAATTAAAGTGAGAGGTAAGTAATTGTATTTATTTATTATTTTCTTTGTTCAATATAGGTAAGATTTTTTTCCTGTTTTAGTTTCTTAGTACTATCTTTCAAGGATTTAATCAAATAAAATTCATAATAAAGAACTAATTAAGGAATGTTAAAGTAACACTTAAATCACTAAGTAGGTACTTAGATAAGACTTTTTCTACTAAATAAATTAATGCGCAACCAAATAAATATGACAGTACAAGTGAAACAGTGGGAAATATTTGTTGGAAAATGACGCACTTCACCGTACTGATTTTGGTCCTCTTTGGCACCGGATTAGGTATTCTACTTTCAATTTTATTTTACAGTCTTTTAAAGCAAATGCAGTATGAATTAAATTATTACTTGAATTTATAATTTTTGTTTTCAATTTACTTATCTTAATATGTAATGTAATATAGCTCTAAAAGTATTGACAAAGAATTTCCAGATCAGGAATACTAATGGAAGAAATATTGTTCTGTTTCTCGTATATTCGAATTAAAAATATATATTTGTAATATAACTATTTAACTATTGTAAGTAATATTGTGGATACCGTTTGAATAGCTAAAACATAGTAAAATCTATTGTAATTAATGAAGAACCACCCTAAATACATTTTAGGGTGGCCCAAAAAAAACAAATTTTTTTTTCGGGTCTCTTGTGAAAATATGTTAGTTTATCATGTTTTAAGAGCCCCCTGATTTTTTTTTAAATTTTTTAAAAATTCCATAATCGTCAAAATTTTTTTTATTTTTTTCCTCGTTATTTTATCATTTTCTAGGTTGAAATAAATCTCGAAAATTTCTAATCGATATTTTAATTTCTAAAGGTCACTCATAATTATTTTAACTTTCAAAGTAGTGTACCTAAAATGCTATCGAGCGACCTCTAAAAATAAATATCAACGAACTAATATTTCTTTTAATTGAATTTGATGAACAAAATAATAGAAATAAATCACGAGACACTTCAAAAATTTCTCGAGACAAAATTTACTACGGCACTGTGAGTATCAAATATTTATAATTTTTTAATTTTTTAAAATGTGTCAGGTCAAAAAAGAATTAAAAAAAAATTTAATTTTTGACGATTTTGGAAATTTTTAAAAATGTTGAGCGACCTCTAAAAAAATTTTTTTTAAGCTGATGTTTTGAGGAGGCTCTTAAAACATGATAAACTAACATATTTTCACAAGAGACACGAAGAAAAAATCGTTTTTTTTTGGGCCGCCCTAATACATTTAATATCAAAATATGTAGTATTCATTAGTTTTGCCATTAAAATTAGAAAATTATAATATATACATTTTAGGGGTCTCGTATGGAAATCCAAATGAAAGAATACTGGGCGGAAACGAAACTGACATTGAAAACTACCCTTACGCTCTTCAGCTGTTCTATATGGACCAACTAGAATGCGGGGGTATCTTAGTTTCTGAACGTTTTGCTCTAACCGCTGGTCACTGCATAGCCAGAAAGACCGTAGAATATTTTCTGATCCGCGCTGGAACTACAACCCTTGGAGAAGGCGGCCAAACGTTCACTATATCACAAACCACTTACCATCCACAGTTCAACCTGAGCCATAATAACTACGACGCGGTTGTTCTTCTTTTGTCAGAGACCGTTTCAGTCTCTACAGCGAAACCCATACAATTAGCTACGGACGATAGTGCTATCATCGAGGGAGGGACGATTCTAGTAGCAGGTTGGGGTTGGACGATACTGAATACGAAAAATGAGTTTTCCACGACACTTCGAGTTACTGACCTAACTATTCTCGGTGACGAAGAGTGTAAAAATTCCTACGATACACCGGTCATCACGGATGCCATGTTCTGTGGGAACTATTCGGGAACAAAGATCCGAGATTTTTGTTTTGGAGATTATGGTGGACCTGCCGTTATCGACGGGATCCTGCAGGGTATCATATCGTTCGGCGAGAGCTGTGGAGATGGTTACAATGGCAAAGTATTTGTAAGGATTTCTATCATAAGAGAGTGGGTGCTGAATATTATTCAGTCAATTGATTAAATGATGAGACGGAACTTTTTTTTATTTAATACCTCCAAATTCTATGCAAGTCAAGGGCATATTATGAGGAAGTCTATATACTTTAATGGAGCACTGGTTAGCTTAAAATAAACAAAAAAATTTATATAAATCTTGGTCTAGAAACGTACTTTCGATAATGGATAAGTTTATATCCTGCATGTATAATATAAACTGCTTAGTTCACATAAACTATTTCTGAGTTTATACGCAAAAAAGAAACCACATCTTGCCATATTTTCTTTAATAACAACAATAGCTTCTTATTTACTAGAAATTTCATATTGCATAATACCCTAACCACCGTACTCGGTACTAACATGCATTGTTATGGTGCGCATTTCGATTATATTTCACTGTTATGAAACGAAACCGATGGAATTTAATTTTGAAAGCAAGTCTGAGGCGTATATGTTGCGGGTAACCGCAACTCGTACAGCTCCGAAGAAGGAAAATAATACGAGACCTTGTCAGAACCACCTTGTGCAGAATGCAGTCAGATCTGTAAGATATTATTTTTAAATCAAAACACAGTTAGCGAGACTGCTTGCCCCCAGACAAGCCGCGTTATAAGCCGGGCCAGTTTTTAACGTCTTCTGTTGTTATTGACCGAATGCTTAGGCCTTATCTGGGTTCGCATATACTGAAAGAACAGTTTGATTAGTATTGATATATCATACATCATATGTGAATAGCCTTGTGCGGAACTAATATATTTCGGCACGTGTATAGGTTGCAATATAAGGAATATTTTACGTTATAATGGAAGAACTACCACTAACGGCACGTTGTAGCAGTTTTTCAAAGATACCATTAACTCATGTGGAACATTGTATCTGCATCTGATGCTATTGTGGGTACCTGAAAGCAACTGTACAATGAATTGCATACCGCTTCCGTGTTACATGATTTATGCAAGACCATGGTTAATGCATACAATATTGTGGGACGAAAAGCACAGGAAACGGTAGAGACTCACGCTATTTGCCTTTGTTGCCGTACGTTCTATTAGTTGCGGCTAGGACTACACTAATTGTGACGTGTATAGACACCTGAGGCCTTTGTATGGCCGTATTTAAAGAGATACGATCGTACGGTTATTTATAAAATTCGAAATATTTAGAATTATTCAAATTTCGTGGCTGAAAACGTACATGGGTATTGTATTTTTGAAACCGAGTGAGTTGCGCGAAACTAAATGTGTACAAGACATAGCTAGCACCATGCGGTTATTTATACAGGAATGGATGTGCACGTGAGCATGGAATGAATATTTCTTTTTGTTGCGATAGTGCCTAATTGTTGTAGTAAACGTTTCTGGGTAACAACAGTTGCAAAAATATAATATTTTAACAGAAAATATCTTTCAGAATCCGAAAAATAGGAGGTTCCGTTTGAAAAACAGAACTATTAAACTAGGTTTATTACGTATTCCAGGGAACATCGCGGTTTTACGCAATCAACTAAATTTTAAAACTGATTAATATACGGGGTTTCGCAACTTACAGCCATTAAATCAGAGCGGACCATAAAATACGAGAGGTTCAATATTAAACAGCAAATTTAATAGATATTTATTCGCGGCCATAAAGTCATAAATAATGTTCCCCATAATAGATTCCATTACGGCAAAAGTAAAATAAAGACCCGCCGCGTTTATTTTTCACATAAACAGGCGGGTTAATACTTTCGAAAACTCCATTCTCCATTGTTATTGGAAATTTAACGGTGACATTCAATTTAGTAGCAATTTAAAAGTAATTTCGTAAAAATAAAGCAATGAATGTTGTATTGATTGGAAAATAAAAAGCCTCGCAGGAGTGGAGGAGCGACCGAAGCTCATCGCAGCGTTCTGACGGCAAAAAAATAGACAGTGGATCAAATCTTCCGTGTAAGGAGGCATCAATCAACGGCATCGGGGATTGCTGGCGTATTATTTTCGAACGAAGTACGGTTCGTTGTTTTCTAATGCTGATGGATAGCATTAAACGTCAGGAACTAATGTCTTTATTTTATTTCGAGAAAATGACTACGTACTTCCATTTTATCTACTTATTTTACTTATCGGTTCCGTCTGAATATCAATAGTTCCATCAATCACAGAATAATATTTTATCGATGATTCGATAATATATTTTATAGTCGTGTGTAATCAATTTTTTCCACAACAAATAAAAAAAACAAAAAAATCAATTACTAATTAGGTCACACCTGAGGTTAATAGGAAAAACGCATGGCAACGAAATTAACCCAGTTTCGAAAATAATTCGATAATTTTTCAAAAAGCTCCCGTCAAATCAACCGCAGTCACAAACCAACAACGGCGAAGGCGAAGTTGTAGGGCGGAAAAACACATTTTCACTACAGTTTTGAAAATTTCTCAGAATCGTCCCTTACGAAGCACGATTGCCCCTAAAAGCCATCAGACTAAATTTTTACGCATGTGTCGAAGACTTCCCGTAATTCCACTATGAAGCCATAATTACCGCCAAAAGTTATCAACCGTATAGCGTAATAAGGCGCAGAAAATTTCACCACTCTTTTGAATTTTGAAGTCCAGGATCACAACTAGTCATAATAAATTTAAACTTAACAATTCTTTGAAAAACGCCCACAATCCATAGAATAATGTTCCATTCTTCCAATGCGACATTGCTACAGGATCCTCTGCGGAGCCATCGTACTACGCGTTCGAACGTCAACCTAGTTCAATAACCTGGTGTAATTCAGTGCTTGTTGAGACATGTAGAGTAGTTAGGAATGTTGTCTGTGGAGTTAGGTGTATAAAGTTAACATTTTAAACATTCCTCAAATACAAAAATCATTCTAATGCGCAAACTCCCATATTTTGATATGTAAACAATGTTAATCGCTTTTTTGCCCAAAACGAAAAGAAATCGAGAAATGACGAGTAAAATATTGCAACCGGATGAAAAATATGCATTGTTTACAAATACTTTTGCAAACGTCAAATTTATAAATATGATAGCGACATGTAAAATTCATGTGCCGAGAACGAGCAAGAAAAACACATTTCAAAGCCCCTTAAAAGCGAGTGTGTTTGCACAAGAGACACGCAATATCTATATAATAACAACAAATAAAAATCGGACTAGCTTGCGGCGTATAAGAGCGTATCAAGTGGAGGGATGTGTGTGTTTACGTTAAGGTGAGCCCTGGAGAACCGCTGCACGTGTGCAAACAGGCGCCCGCCGTAGCCGTCTAGACGCCGCGACGCTGGCATTGTCTAGTCCTGTGCGGAATATGCCAGATACCTTGGCGGGAGATTTCCCTCCGGAGCGAAAATTCCGAATTTTCTTTACGGATTGGTTTCGGTTCAATTCCAAAGCCAGCCAGCTGTATTTGCGTTATCGGGGGATAGTGCAAATTTGCTCGGTTTAGTTGGAGGGATTATAAATGGAATTTTATGATGGCAAAATCTGGGTCTTCCAAGCAGGTGTTCGCCATTTAACGTCGACGTTAAATTATGAGATAGAAGAGCCAAGAAAATGTCTAAGTATTGCTTGTATTGTTTTTTGAAGTGATCCTAAAAAAAAATTATAGGAAAAATCGTATTTGTGTAACACTAATAATGACCATTTTTAATAAAATTTAAAATAAATAATATCGAAATTGCTCAAACAAGTTGAGGAACTCTGGAATGTACCTCGTATAAAGAAAGGCTCGAAATATTTGGAATTATTCAATTTTCGTGGATGAAAACGTATAGTTTTTCCGATATCAATTGAAGAAGCAACAAATTGATAGTAGGTACCAGGTTCGGTCGCTGACGCAGCAACTCGGCATTGAAATATTTGAAAAACTTGTTCCCATATTTATTTAGCCATACCTATATACAGGTCTGGTCGAACAAAACGTGGAGGCGATAGAAATGTATCCGCTCGGTTGAAGAATGCGAGCGCGGGCAAAGAAAAACGATTACAGTTGCATTGGGCTACTGGGCAATAAATCACAGCAGATGACAAGTGGTTGATAAACTCTTCAGAGCATCCTGATCAAAAATTCTCATGGGCATAAAACCCGGAAACCGCTCCCAACCCCCCAAAACCACCCCCAAAGGTCAGGGGCTCATTATACCACACCACCAAAAAAGTATCAGACCCACACATGCAATGTATGGTTTCCGGTGTATTTTTGAGCGCTGGACACGAATATGTCATCATTTTTGCTCTAGCACGTATCAGTCTCAGCAAATCGCTAAAGAAGCTTCAGAAAACTGAAGAAAAAACATTGTGGACTGTGATTCACATGCGATATGTGGTTTCCGGTGTATTTTTGCACGCTGAGCACGATTCTGAGGTCAAATTACCTTAAGCTAATCGCTGAAGAAGCTTCAGTAAGAAAGAACACCATGGTTCTTCAGTGGTGTGTACATATCGCATGTGAATTACAGAACACAATGTTCTTTCTTCCGTTTTTGAAGCTTCTTCAGTTATTATNTACAAATTATTATAATTTTTTACCTTTAGCAGAAAATTTTTTTAGGGACGCCTATGAAACTCATTAAATTTTATGTCCAACTGACTTAGGAAAGACTATACATAGGTAGGTATTGAATTTTTGAAACCGAGAGGTTTCCACCCAAAGGACCCCGCAAAAACCTTATGGAAATGGATCCCCGGTGAATCTCTTTCAAATTTTGAGAATAAACTCTTCAGAGCATCCTGATCAAAAGTTCTCATGGGCATAAAACCCGGAAACCGCTCCCAACCCCCCAAAACCACCCCAAAGGTCAGGGGCTCATTATACCACACCACCAAAAAAGTATCAGACCCACACATGCAATGTATGGTTTCCGGTGTATTTTTGAGCGCTGAACACGAATATATCATCATTTTTGCTCTAGCACGTATCAGTCTCAGCAAATGGCTAAAGAAGCTTCAGAAAACTGAAGAAAAAATATTGTGGACTGTGATTCACATGCGATATGTGGTTTCCGGTGTATTTTTGCATGCTGAGCACGATTCTGAGGTCA